GAATGCAAAATGTGCTAGAGGTTTAAATGTCAAAACATTTTAGGCAGTCAGTGAGCCTCGTAAATGTGTGCTCCTCTGCTGTTGGGAGAATTTGGGTGAAATGTTTGAGAAGTTTGGAGACTCCTCATTTTAAGATTGGGGAAACTGAGGCTGAAGGGACAAAAGTAGCTCACTGGAGGTTGTGCAACAAATGACGACCTAGAACCCAGGGCTCTGAGGCCAAGCTTGCCCCCCCCCACCCATTCCTTTGTCTAGGCAAGAGTAAGGGACCTCCAAGTGGCTTTCAGTGTAAGACTTAGGAAAAACTTTACCTGGGAAGGTAGGGGCAGCCTCACAGAGGGGCTGGCATCTGAGCCAAATCCTTAAGGATGAGCTTCCTGGGCACAGAAATCAGGTTGGGCACAGAGGCAGAAAGAACCTCTTTTTTGAGATGGAGTCTCACTCTGTTTCCAGGCTGGAGTGCAGTGGCATGATCTCACTGCAACCTCTGCCTCCCAAGTTCAAGTGATTCTCCTGCCTCAGCCTCCCGAGTAGCTGGGATTACAGACACATGCCACCACGCCTCGCTAATTTTTGTATTTTAGTAGAGACAGGGTTTCACCATGTTGGCCAGGATGGTCTTGATCTCCTGACCTCGTGATCTGCCCACCTTGGCCTCCTAAAGTGCTGGAATTACAGGTGTGAGCCACTGCGCCCACTCGAGAGAACCCTCTTATTCAGGAGCAGTTGTCTCCTCAATGTGGGGTTCCTTCCCAAAAAGTCAAAGAAGGGGCCGGGCGCAGTGGCTCAAGCCTGTAATCCCAGCACTTTGGGAGGCCGAGGCGGGTGGATCACGAGGTCGAGAGATCGAGACCATCCTGGTCAACATGGTGAAACCCCGTCTCTACTAAAAATACAAAAAATTAGCTGGGCATGGTGGCATGTGCCTGTAATCCCAGCTACTCAGGAGGCTGAGGCAGGAGAATTGCCTGAACCCAGGAGGCGGAGGTTGCGGTGAGCCGAGATCACGCCATTGCACTCCAGCCTGGGTAACAAGAACGAAACTCCGTCTCAAAAAAAAAAAAAAAAAAAAAAAAAAGTCAAAGAAGGGCAGTTTTCCCAGACTGTCTCCCAGAGAGGTGAGACCCTTCCCCAGACCTCAGTTTCCCCATCTGTAGAATGAGGATTCTCAGGCTTCACAGACGTGTCCACTAAATGGACTGTCTTGGGCTCCTGGCACAGCACTGCTGCTCTCTGAGGGGGACTCCCTGTTTTCTCCGTGTCTGCGTCCCTGGTGCTTTCCCTTTCCCTTGCTGATCTCCTCAGAGATGGGGAAGCCAGACATCTGCTGATCCATGAATATTCAGGAAGGGAATCGGAGCCTCCTCTGGGCTCCCCAGCCAGCCGCCAGCCCCTCTGGCCACTGTCCTGCCTGCCAGAGCCCAGGCTGCTGACATACCCAGCAGCTGCTCAGGCCCAACTGTTCACATTGTTTGTTCAGCTCAGCAGGGGATTTTCCAAGCCCGGGACATGCTTTAGGGGGCGGAGAGGCTGCTGGAGGGCTCCGGGATTCGTGTCCTGTGGGGCTTTTCTCCCTTGAAACCCAAACCTACTGCTTAGTGGCTGGAATGGGCATTTGGAAGCCTCTGGGCTGAGAGCCCAGACTTGCCTTCCCCCTATCCTGTACTTGAATCATGGAATCTAGGGCCTTACAGATAGAAGGGCCTGGATGATAAGAACAACAAATAGCACTTGTACAGCCCTTTATACTTACAAAGTACCTTTAAAGAATAAGCTCCTGGCTGGGCACGGTGGCTCATGCCTGTAATTCCAGCACTTTGGGAGGCCGAGGCGGGCAGATCACTTGAGGTCAGGAGTTTGAGACCAGCCTGGCCAACATGGCCAAACCCTGTCTCTACTAAGAATACAAAAATTAGCCAGGTTTGGTGGCGGATGCCTGTAATCCCAGCTACTTGGGAGGCTGAGGCAGGAGAATAGCTTGAACCAGGGAAGTGGAGGTTGCAGTGAGTCGAGATTGCACCATTGCACTGCAGCCTGGGCGACAGAGCACAACTGTCTTAAAAATAAATAAACAGGCTGGGCGCGGTGGCTCAAGCCTGTAATCCCAGCACTTCGGGAGGCCGAGGCGGGTGGATCACAAGGTCAAGAGATCGAGACCCTCCTGGTCAACATGGTGAAACCCCGTCTCTACTAAAAAATCCAAAAAAAATTAGCTGGGCATGGTGGCGCGTGCCTGTAATCCCAGCTACTCAGGAGGCTGAGGCAGGAGAATTGCCTGAACCCAGGAGGCGGAGGTTGCGGTGAGCTGAGATCGCGCCATTGCACTCCAGCCTGGGTAACAAGCGAAACTCCGTCTCAAAAAATAAATAAATAAAATAAATAAATAAATAAACAGGCCGGGCGCAGTGGCTCAAGCCTGTAATCCCAGCACTTTGGGAGGCCAAGGCGGGTGGATCGCAAAGTCAAGAGATCGAGACCATCCTGGTCAACATGGTGAAACCCCGTCTCTACTAAAAAATACAAAAAATCAGCTGGGCATGGTGGCGCATGCCTGTAATCCCAGCTACTCAGGAGGCTGAGGCAGGAGAATTGCCTGAACCCAGGAGGCGGAGGTTGCGGTGAGCCAAGATTGCACCATTGCACTCCAGCCTGGGTAACAAGAGCGAAACTCCGTCTCAGAAAAACAAAACAAAACAAAACAAAAAAAACATAAATAAACAAAGAATAAGCTCCCATTCCTTGAGTGATGTCTGTTGGGCGCTGGGCTGTAGCCTTGACATACATTGTCTTGTTTAATTCCTTCAGGCTTAATGGTATCATCTTCATTTTATGCATGTGGAAACTGAGGCTCAGAAAGATTAAGTGACTTGTCATAGAGCTGGTAGGTGGAACAGCAAGATTGAAACCTTGATCTTCTTCCCCAAGGTCAAAAGCAGTAGTGTGAATGCCAGATTGTTTTCCCCAGTTAGAATGGAAACTTGGTGAGGGCAGGGGCGGCTTCTCCCTGCTGAGGCTGATTGTGCAGCCAGAGGTGTTCAGCAGGACCCATCTGATGAATTGAGAAAGGCCCAGGTCAGGTCCTGTCTGTCCGTCCACCCTTCACACTGCAACACCAGATCTCGGGCGTCTGTCCTGGCTTTATTTCACCAGTCATCACTGCTCTTCTCCTCGCCGTCTTCTTCCTCTTTGGGGGTGGTAGGAAGGGAGTCTGGAGACTCACAGGGGTTCTGAGTGTTGGCCCAAGTGTCCACGTGTTGATGAGTGTGGCAGAGGCTGAGGTGCCTGTGTTCAGGGGTGGAGAGCTACGTTTACTAATTTTTTTTTTTTTTTTTTTTTTTTTTTGAGACGGAGTTTCGCTCTTGTTACCCAGGCTGGAGTGCAATGGCGCGATCTCGGCTCACCGCAACCTCCGCCTCCTGGGTTCAAGCAATTCTCCTGCCTCAGCCTCTTGAGTAGCTGGGATTACAGGCATGTGCCACCATGCCCAGCTAATTTTTTGTATTTTTAGTAGAGACGGGGTTTCACCATGTTGACCAGGATGGTCTCGATCTCTCGACCTCGTGATCCACCCGCCTCGGCCTCCCAAAGTGCTGGGATTACAGGCTTGAGCCACCGCGCCTGGCCTACGTTTACCAATTTGCGTGTGGTCTCGATGGTGTTTTATGTTTGTTCAGGAATAGGTGTTTCCATGTCAGTGAATAATCATAGAATCATAGTTCATAGAATAATAATAATAATCATAGAGTCATAGTTCATAGAATAATAATTATTATAGAATCATGGCTCACTGCAGCCTCGAACTCAGGCTCAGATGATGCTCCTTGCCTCAGCCTCCTGAGTAGCTGGGACCACAGGTGCATGCCACCATGCACAGCTAGCTTTTTAAATTATCTGTAGAGATGAGGTCTCTGTGATACCCAGGCTGGTCTGCTTTTTAAATTTAGATATAATTAAAATACTACAAAATTCACCCTTTACAGTGTTTGACTCGGTGGAGTTTTTGTTTGTTTGTTTGTTTGAGAGGGAGTCTCACTCTGTCACCAGGCTGGAGTGCAGTGGTGCAACCTCGGCTCACTGCAATCCTCTGCCTCCCGGATTCAAACGATTCTCCTGCCTCAGACTCCTGAGTAGCTGTGACTGCAGGTGTGTGCCACCACGCCCAGCTCATTTTTGTGTATATATACAAAATTTTTGTGTGTGTATATATATATATATATACACACACACACACACACACACAAAATATATATATATATATATATATATATATACACAAAAATATATATATATATATTTAGTAAAGACAGGGTTTCACCGTGTTGACCAAAATGGTCTCAATCTCTTGACCTCGTGATTCGACTGCCTCAGCCTCCCAAAGTGCGGGGATTACAGGCGTGAGCCACCGCGCCCGGCATGGTTTTTAGTATATTCATTCATATTCACAAGGTTGTGCAACCACAGCCACTAATTCTAGAACATTTTCTTCACCCCCCTCAAAGAAACCCTCTACTCTTTAGCAGTCACTCCCTGTCCTTCTCCCAGTCACTAACAATCATTAATCCACTTTCTGTCTTTATGGATTTGCCTCCTCTGGGCATTTCATAGAAATGAGATCATGCAAAATGTGGCATCTTATGACTGGCTCCCTTCACCTAGCGTCAAGTTTTCAGGGTTCATCCACCTTGTAGCATGTATCAGTGCTTCGTTCCTTTGGATGGCTGAGTAATATAGTTGTCTGTTCATCAGGGGATGGGCATTTGGGTTGTTTCCACCCTTTGGCTAGTATGAATAATGCTGCTATGAGGAAACTGAGCAACAGGGGAAGACAGGCACAGAGAAGTGCAGCAGTGTGTCCAAGGTCACAGGTAGTGAGGGGAGAGCCGGGATCCAGACACAGGTCTTTCTCCTTGATTTGCCCCAGCCCCTGGGTAGGTGACTCAGGAGCAGAGGCTGTGAGAGATGGGGGATACACACTGATGGCCCTGTGCTCCTCTGTGCAGGGGAGCTGCTGTTGCCCCAGGAGACGACTGTGGAGCTGAGCTGTGGCGTGGGGCCACTGCAAGTGATCCTGGGCCCAGAGCAGGCTACAGTGCTGAACTGTAGCCTGGCTGCTGCTGCCGCCGGACACCCCAATAGGGTGATCTGGATCAAGGATGGGGACACCCTGCTGGAGCACGATCACCTACGCCTGCTGCCCAATGGTTCCCTGTGGCTGTCCCAGCCACTAGCACCCAATGGCAGTGACGAGGCAGTCCCCAAGGCTGTGGGGGTCATCGAAGGCAGCTATTCGTGCTTCGTCCATGGCCCCCTCGGAGTGCTGGCCAGCCAGGCTACTGTCGTCAAGCTCGCCAGTAAGTGCGTGCGTTGGGGGCTGAGGCTGAGACCTAGACCTGGGGTTTGCAAAGTGGGATCTGCAGTTAGTCACTTGCACAAATGCCTCTTAAGCCCACTCCTCCTTTCCCTGCCTCCCACCTTGCTCAATAGGCCTCTTCCTGGTATTGTCTATCTTTGTTCTTTGGTATTCTGTAATCTTCCCACTTCTTCTCCACTCTCCTGTTCCTTCTCCTTTTCTTTCCCTCTGAGTCCTAGAGTCTGGACTTCTGTTCTCCTCCAGGGAGCCTGCCAGAGTGCCCCCTTCGTGTTAGAGGCACAAAGCTGCCTCCTAAGGGAGCTCCTGCCTGCACAGCAGGTGGAACGTGCGGAGTCATTCCCCACGCTCCAGCCTTACCCCTTAGGGGGCCCTCAGGAGACACAGATCACCATGAAATCACTTTCCGGCCAGAAGAAATGTGCATCTCACTGTATGGTTTGACCATCACGGTGATGTTGGGCAGGGGGGCTTTGGGATTCATTCTGCAGGCAGCATCTGACCACTAATCACCACTTCTTGTGTCTCCCTCGGTCTGAATTGGCTCTGCTGTGTGTTTCTGTGGCGGTGTTTCTGTGTCTCCGTGTGGCTGTGTTTCACTGTTTGTGCTTGCTGTGGCCTCCCTCTCCTGCCCTTCTCCCATCCCTGCCTGTGTCTCACTCACTGTCCCCAGCACTCGAAGACTTCTCTCTGCACCCGGAGTCTCAGACGGTGGAGGAGAATGGGACAGCTCGCTTCAAGTGCCACATTGAAGGGCTGCCGGCTCCCATCATTACTTGGGAGAAGAACCAGGTGACATTGCCTGAAGAGCCTCGGTGAGTGCCCTGTAGGGCAGCGGGTCCCAGTAGACAGGGCAGTGAGGGCCTTAGGATGTGCTCAGAGCTGAGATTCTTGGAGTCAAGGGAGCTGCATTTCCCTAAACTGACTTGAGAGTCAACCACCACCTGACTCCTGGCTCATGTCTGGTCCCAAAGAGAAATTGGACAAGAAGTTTTTCTCCCTGGGAGGAAAGCCACCCACTGAGCTGTGGAGCCTGGGTGGGGGTAGTGCTAGAGTCCTTCCCAGCACATCTGATCCAACCACATGCTTTACTGAGGAGACTGAGGGCCAGAGAGGAGCTGTGGTGTATCTCAAGCCATGCCGTGAGCCATTGGCAGAATGTTGGCTGTTTGTTGAGGGCTCCCTGAGGCTGCCAGGAAGGCTTTCTCTCTTCAGGTTCCTCCAGAGTTTCCATTCTAGAAGCATCACTTCTCTTCCTCTCTCAATCCCATCCAGTGGGGCGCAGCCCTCTGGGAAGTGGGTTGTAGAGGTCTTTCCTATTTCACTGTCCTCTTTCCCTGTAAAGGCAATGAATGGATGAGTAGAGCAATCCCAGGGAAGAGTTTCCAGGGCGGAAGGGAAGCAGAGGCTAGACCCAGAACTCCGTCCCTCTTGTGGATTCCTGGGTAGGTGTAGATGTGTCTGCAGCGTGACAAGAAACCACAAAGCTCCTTTGCATCTGTGGTCTCTGAGTTGGTCTCATGACTCAGTCATCACCCCCTAGATTTTTACCTGTCTTTGGAAATGTGGCTCCAAAGTCCTTTCCCAGCCACCCTGCAGTCCTCTCCCTGTATCTCAGGAGCTGTAGTTACCAGCTAGATCCTTCTCCCATCCTGGTGGAAGTGGGGTTCCTCAGGCTCTGAAACACTCCCCCTTCTCCCCTGGAACCAACCTTCCATTGCCTGTGTTGCGTCGTCCCAGCTCCTCTGACTTTTGCTCATTCGTAGGTAAGGATGCGGGGTGAAGGAGAAACTTCGGGGTAGAAAAGCCACAGGACAGTTGTGAGGGAGGAAGAGGGTGAGAGGTCCATACATAAGAGATCGTGGCCGGGCGTGGTGGCTCATGCCTGTAATCCCAACATTTTGGGAGGATGAAGCAGAAGGATCGCTTGAGCTCAGGAGTTCAAGACCAGCCTGTGCAAAATATTGAGACCCTGTCTCTATTAAAAAAAAATACAAAAATTGCCCAGCGTGGCAGTGTGGCGCCTGTGGTCCCTGCTACTTGGGAGGCTGAGAGAGATCACTTGAGCCCAGGCGATGGAGGCTGCCATGAGCTGTGATAGCGCCACTGCATTCCCGCCAGCCTGGGTGACACATTGAGACCCCATCTCAAAAAAAAAAGAAAAAAAAAAAAAAAAAAGAGAGTGATCTTGTTGACTCCGGTGATGGGTTAGCCCCACCGGTCCTCGGAGAGTCACTTCTCACCCAGCCTATTCTCCCCACCTGTGAAATGAAGGGGGAAGCAACCTATTCTCCCCACCTATAAAATGAAGGGGAAACAAACGGAAGTTGATTTAGATTGCGGTTTCCCAAAGCGTGGTCTCCATAGAACATTAGTCCCTTTAAATTCTTCTTGAATGAAGTATCCTATGATCAAATAAGAACAGGAAACTGCCTGTAAATCTCCCTCCTGCAGTTGGCAAGGCCCTGAGAAGTGCTGTACTGAGGATCCTGTTGACCTAAGTAACCAAGCGCTTCCTAGGCTCAATTGCCCAGGAACCCCTTAACATCCCATGAATGAGCGTTCTAGAGAGTGAACCCTGGGAAATGCTGACCCAGCCTTTCTCACACTGACATTTTAAGTGCTGTGCCTTTCTAAATGTGGGGCCTCTCACCACTGTATGATCATGGGTGCCTCCTGGGAGTTCCATGAACCCAGAGCAGATGAGCTGGGGAAGTGAGAACCAAGCGAGAGCCTACTCCCGATGGCCCCCAGAGGGGTAGCAGAGGGCAGCAAAATACCCCCATGTTGAAAGTCACAACATGAGCCACTTAACGGAAGTGTACCTTGGGCCAGGCACTGTGCTGAGTCTTTACATATATTTTCTCACTTAATTCTTCCAATCATCCTTTAAGATAGGTATTTCTTATTTTCACATTTTTCTCTATTTCCTTTTTTGTTTGTTTGTTTGAGACGGAGTCTTGCTCTGTCGCCCAGGCTGGAGTGCAGTGGCACTATCTTGCCTCTCTGCAACCTCCACCTTCTGGGTTCAAGCAGTCCTCCCACCTCAGCCTCTTGAATTGCTGGGATTACAGGTGTATACTACCAAGCCCAGCTAATTTTTTTGGTATTTTTAGTAGTGTTGGGGTTTCACCGTGTTGGTCAGGCTAGTCTCAAACTCCTGATCTCATGATTCATCCTCCTCAGCCTTCCAAAGTGCTGGGATTACGGGCGTGAGCCACCACATCTGGCTTATTTACTTTTAATTTATATTCCTAGCAGATGCATTTTAAAAATTCATATTAATATGGCTGGGCACGGTGGTTCATACCTGTATCCCCAACACTTTGGGAGCCCAGGGCAGATGGATTGCTTGAGCTCAGGAGTTAGAAACCAACGTGGGCAATATGGCAAAATGTCATCTCTCAAAAATACAAAATTTAGGCCAGATGCAGTGGCTCATGCCTGTAATCCCAGCACTTTAGGGGGGGCTGAGGCAGATGGGTCACCTGAAGTCAGGAGTTCAAGGCCAGCCTGGCCAACATGATGAAACTCCGACTCTACTAAAAATACAAAAATTAGCCAGGCATGGTGGCAGGCACCTGTAATCCCAGCTACTTGGGAGGCTGAGCGGGGAGAACCCAGGAGGCAGACATTGCAATGAGCCGAGATAGTGCCATTCCACTCCAGCCTGGGTGACAAAGGAAGACTCCATCTCAAAAAAAAAAAAAAAAAAATTAATTATATTGTTCATACTAGGTTTTCATTGAATCATCTTTTCTTTTTCAAAAACAAAAGTAGGATTATATTGCAACTTTGATTTTTTTTTTTCACTTACCACACAATGAACATGCTTCCAGGTCTGTACGTAGGAATATGGTGGGTATTTTTATCTGGATTGTTAAATGAGGGATTGGAGGACCAGAGGCAGAAAAGCTTGCCCCAGGTCACACAGCTTAGTACTCAGCACCAGACGTCAGTGCCCTGTGTGGAGGATACACAGGCCTCTCTGGTAGGTGTCATTTGGTGGTTAGGTGAGAAACTTGCGAGGTCTGAAGAAGTTTGTATCACATTATAACTTTAATTTTTTTAAAAATTAAAGATGAGTTTAGAAATCTGTAGTCCAACTGTGGCTGGGAGCAAAGAAGTTAATTCCCTAAAGTTTCTCAGCAAACCAGTAGGTTTCAGACCTCCCTCCCGAAACATCTGGCTCAGGGGTCATCCCATGAAGCCATAAACCTAACCCAGGAGGCCAGAGCTGCCAGTTTCTGGACTCTGGGAGTGTTTGCCCCCAAGTCTCTGAAAAGTGATCCTCATCTATAAATAAACTGGGCTCACATGTCCTGGTACATTGTGTGGGAGGGAATAAAGAAATGTCTAAAACAGCAACTTGATTATGCCCAAGCTATATATTTTTACACATGCCCAGATATAGTGCATGCACAAATATGCTATTCATAAACTCAGCCCAGTGGTTTGAAGGAGACCATATGCCCTGGTGTAGTGTGTGCACATGTGCAGCTAATAAACACACTGCATCAGGGTATATGTGCTTAGTTTGGAAGTGATGGTAACCGCTAGACCCCAAGGCAATTCCCTGGTGCTTATACTAGTTTCTAATAATAGGGGATAATCTAGGGGATAATTTTTCTTCCACGGGAACCACTAATCAATGAGAGCAATGTTTCCCAAATCCCAGGCATTCACAAACCACCTTCATAATTGTGACCATATTTATACCATTTATACAATCACTTAATAATTTTCTTTACGTCAACTCGCTCTTTTGTAAACTTTAACACATATTAAAAGGGAACATTATCTCACTACAATAAAATGGAAAACCAGCAACACTTGCCATAAATAGAAGATAGCCATAAAAATGAATAATATAACTTCTAGGATAAAAAGCCATGTATCTGGATCCACTTGAAATCATTCTGTTATCACCATTCACTCACTTTTTTTTTTTTTTTTTTTTGAGATGGAGTTTTGCTCTTGTCTCCCAGGCTGGAGTGCAATGGCTCCATCTCGGCTCACTGCAACTTCTGCCTCCTGGGTTCAAGCCATTCTCCTGCCTCAGCCTCACAAGTAGCTGGGATTACAGGTGTCCACCACCACACCCGGCTAATTTTTGTATTTTTAGTAGAAACAGAGTTTTGTCTTGTTGGCCAGGCTGGTCTTGAACTCCTGACCTCAGGTGAACCACCTACCTTGGCCTCCCAAAGTGCTGGGATTACAGACGTGAACCACCGTGTCTGGCCCACTCATATTTTAAGAAACATGGGGCCGGGCGCGGTGGCTCAAGCCTGTAATCCCAGCACTTTGGGAGGCCGAGGCGGGTGGATCACCAAGTCAAGAGATCGAGACCATCCTGGTCAACATGGTGAAACCCCGTCTCTACTAAAAATACAAAAAATTAGCTGGGCATGGTGGCTCGTGCCTGTAATCCCAGCTACTCAGGAGGCTGAGGCAGGAGAATTGCTTCAACCCAGGAGGCGGAGGTTGCGGTGAGCCGAGATCGTGCCATTGCACTCCAGCCTGAGTAACAAGAGCGAAACTCCGTCTCAAAAAAAAAAAAGGAAAAGAAAAGAAAAAAGAAACATGGAACTAAGGGACTTAAATAACGGGCTTCTGCCCTACCGTCTCCCAGTGGCTACCATTTCTGTCAATCTCATGTGACTCCCAGCCAGTATCCCCTCGCCCTGGATGGATCGCAAGGGCTTAGGGAGGGGGCTCTGTGGCCCTTGGGAAATTCAGAGCAGCTGCGTCATTTCTTCTGTGTTCTTTAATCCAGGGCCCAAGTGGCTTTTTGTGGGGAGAAGCAGCAGAGTTGGGTTTGAGGTTGGAAAAAGAATAATCCCTTCTTTTGAATTAAGATTGTTTTTCATTCTACAAGTAACTTTTATTTTATTTGAAATTTAAATTTCTTTTAAAATGGTAAAGTACACCAACTTTGCAGAAAGGGGTAAAAAGTCACCTACTGACTGAACACAGCTATTACCAATTTGAGCGCTTCCTTGCAGTCTTTTGAAATATGTATATGGGTTACACCGTTGTAAACATGTGCTTAGACCTTGCAATTCATAAATATGTTTCTGTCTATCATCTGATGTGAGCTCAGAACACATTAAGAGGGTCAGGGTTGTGAAGTAGGCAGGACAGGAATCATCTAACAAACTTTTCAGATGAGAAACTGTGGCTCAGGTATGGAATGTCCCTTGCTAAAATCACACACTGAAACCAGTTCTCTCCACCATGTCACAGTGTTTCTGTGTTAGAGCCCAAGTTACAAAACAAAGTGTACATGGGAACAGAGTTTAGCAATTTACATTTTACAAATTTTATATTTCCTCATATATATTTATTGAAAAAAAAAAAAGATACTTAAGGCCAGGCAAGGTGGCTCACTCCTGTAATCCCAGCAAGACCATCCTGGCCAACATGGTGAAATCCCATCTTTACTAAAAATATAAAAATTAGCCGTGCGTGGTCGCGCGCACCTGTAGTCCCAGCTACTTGGGAGGGTGAGGCAGGAGAATCACTTGAACCCAGGAAATGGAGGTAGTGGTGAGCTGAGATTGCGCCACTGCACTGCAGCCTGACAACAGAGCAAGACTCTGTCTCAAAAAAAAAAAAAAAAAAAAAAAAAAAAAACTTAAAAAGCACAATAAATAAGAGTCCCTGGTAATCCCACTCCTACAGAAAACCCCCATAAACCACACAGGCTTTGTCACCTTTGACTTTTTCTGTGTATATCCATCCTAACATAACTTCTATTTTCTAAAAATAGAATTTTTTCATAAACACTGTTTTTTGACTTTTTCCCCCCACTAATAGATCTTGAACATCTTTCCAAGGACAGAGCTTCTAAAAACACATTTTAGCAAAGCAAAAGATTTTTTTTTGAGTCAGGGTCTCACTCTGCCGCCCAGGTTGGAGTGCAGTGGCACAGTCACTGCTCACTGCAGCCTCTACCTCCTGGGCTTAAGTGACTTTCCCACTTCAGCCTCCTATACAGCTGGAACTAAAGGTGTGCGCCACCATGCCTGGCAAATTTTTGTATTTTTTGTAGAGATTGGGTTTTGCCCATGTTGCCCAGGCTGGTCTCCAACTCCTGGGCTCAAGCAATCCGCCTGCCTACGCCTCCCAAAGTGCCCGGCCAGAAAAGATTTTAAATGAACACTGAAAGTGGTTCCGCCTTGCCTCTACTGGCTGCAGTAATAGCACCATATCTGGGGAAAGGAATTATTCATTTGTTCATTCATTCAACACACATAATTAAGGAAATGTTATTTTTTCAAAGGAGAGACTAGCTCTTGAGTACTCAGAGCACGTATTTCCCTGGGAAGACCTAGAAACACGGGTTAGGAAATGTAGGCAGTTCCCAGCAGCATAGTCAGCTCTCTAGACCAAGGGAGGAAAAGAGAAAGAAGAGTCTCGGAGGCAGAGCAATTGGATGGATGGGGTGGGGCTTGTTTCCTAGCTGGGTCCTGCTTGTCCTTCCCCAGTTTGCCCTTTCCCATCAGTTCTTCTCTGGCAGCAGACTGGGTCCTGGCCCAGGATTTCCCTCCAGCCACACTTGCCTCCTGTGCCTTTCACTGTGCCTCAGGACTTAGGTAGACAGCTATTGGAGCCGGGGGTGAGGGGCTGGGGGCAGAGCTGGGTTTGCCTGTGCAGTGCAGGAAAGAGTGGGGCAGCTTTACGTTTTTTCTCTAAATTCTGTAAGTCTCTGGGACACAGCAGGTTTGTAGGCCTCTGTTTAGAATGTTCTTCTTCCCCTCAGCCTTTGAGCTACTTCTCTTCTCCCATGTTTAGATATTTCCACACCCCACTTCCCCATGAGTGAAGGGATCTCCACCAGGTAGCTACTGCCCCCTTCCCTCTCCGACCCTGGCCCAGCCTACATCCCAGAGGCCAGCACCGTTTGCTCTGTTGAGAAACTAGGACTCTCAACCTGGAGTTGACCCTGCAGGGATCCCAGTTGGAGGATTCCAAAGGTCCCACTCACCCCCTGCTTAGATCAGAGCCCACTCTGGTCCCCCACCATCCCAACCCTCATGGAGACCTCCCTATCCCAGATTACATTGTTTCTTAAGGGATATCTCTGGACCTTTCTACCTCTGTAACCCAGAAGACAGGGAACGCCCTCATCTATCACACCCTTTTTTTTTTTTTTTTTTTTTTTGAGACGGAGTTTCACTCTTGTTACCCAGGCTGGAGTGCAATGGCGCGATCTCAGCTCATCACAACCTCCGCCTCCTGGGTTCAGGCAATTCTCCTGCCTCAGCCTCTTTAGAAGCTGGGATTACAGGCACATGCCACCATGCCCAGCTAATTTTTAAAATATTTTTAGTAGAGACGGGGTTTCACCATGTTGACCAGGATGGTCTCGATCTCTTGACCTCGTGATCCACCCACCTCAGCCTCCCAAAGTGCTGGGATTACAGGCTTGAGCCACTCCGCCCGGCCTCATCACACCCCTTCTAAGTAACATACGTGTCGACTGGGTCTGCTGTCAGACCACGTCCTCTCCAAGGGCATTCTCAGCCATCCAGTGGCTGCTGAGACAGGCAGGTGGGATGAACATAACATTGGCACCAAAAGACTCAGGTTCGAGTTTTCACTCTGCTCCATCTGTGAGACCTGAGGAAAACACCCTTCTCCCTCTGAGCCTATTTTTCACCAGTAAGATGGAGGTTGTGACCCCCTCTATGTCTTGGGCTTGTTTTGAGGGTCACATGAGATGGTGCGAATAAAAAGTATTTTATCAAGGGAGGGAGAAGGTAATATAGGCAAGGGGTAAAAAAAATTCAAACTGTGATGGGTGCGGTGGCTCATGCCTGTAATCCCAACACTTTGGGAGGCTGAGGCAGGTGGATCACCTGAAATCAGGAGTTAGAGACCACCCTGACCAACATGGAGAAACCCCGTCTCTGCTAAAAATACAAAATTAGCTGGGTGTGTTGGCATGCACCTGTAATCCCAGCTATGCAGGAGGCTGAGGCAGGAGAATCATTTGAACCTGGGAGGCAGAGGTTGCGGTGAGCCGAGATTGCGCCACCGCACTCCAGCCTGGGCAACAAGAACAAAACTCTGTCTCAAAAAAAAAAAAAACAAAACTGTATAGAAAGATATATAATAAAAAGTCAGTCCTTTCCACCTTTAGTCCCCTGGATCCCAGGTCCCCTTCCCAGAGAACACCACCATTACCAGGAACATTCAATGTATATGAAAGCATAGAAGCCTCCGTGCCCCGACACATACTGTTTTGTACTAGAACACGTTTGCAGATGGCCCTCTATCAGCACACACGGAGCTGCCTCCTTTTTAGCAGCTGCCTAGCATTCCATTGTGTGAATGTACCCAAGCCAATTTAGCCCGTTCCCGCCCTGCAGATGGACGCTTGGGTTGTCTCCAGCCATTTGCTATTCCAGATGGTGCTGGAGTGAGTATCATTGGACATGTGCTCTCGTGCACACATCTGAGAGTATCTGTGGGATAGAGCCCTAGAAGTTTTTTTTTTTTTTTTTTTTTTTTGAGACGGAGTTTCGCTCTTGTTGCCCAGGCTGGAGTGCAATGGCATGATCTCGGCTCACCGCAACCTCCGCCTCCTGGGTTCAGGCAATTCTCCTGCCTCAGCCTCCTGAGTAGCTGGGATTACAGGCACACGCCACCATGCCCAGCTAATTTTTAGTATTTTTAGTAGAGACGGGGTTTCACCATGTTGACCAGGATGGTCTCGATCTCTTGATCTCGTGATCCACCCACCTCGGCCTCCCAAAGTGCTGGGATTACAGGCTTGAGCCACCGCGCCCGGCCGCCCTAGAAGTTTTGATGCTGAGATATCACCAACATGCCCTGGACAGATGGTGTATAAGCAGGGCCACGCTCAAGGCAGGAGTGCCTTCCCCCATTCCCTCGTCCACATGAAGTGTTATTTTTTTTTTCTTTTTTTTCTTCTTTTTTTTGAGATGGAGTCTCGCTCTGTCGCCCAGGCTGGTATGCAATGGTGCGGTCTCGATTCACTGCAACCTCTGCCTCCCGGGTTCAAGTGATTCTCCTGCCTCCGCCTCCAGAGTAGCTGAAACTACAGGCATGCGCTGCCATGCCCAGCAAATTTTAGTATTTTTAGTAGAGACGGGGTTTCACTCTGTTGGCCAGGCTGGTCTCAAAGTCCTGACCTCGTGATCCACCCACCTTAGCCTCCCAAAGTGCTGGGATTACAGGTGTGAGCCACTGCACCTGGCCCACATGGAGTGTTATTAAGCCTTCTGATTTTCACCAATCTAACAGGTGAAAATGGTATCTTCGAGTTTTAATTCGCATCTCTTTTACCATGAGCCACCCTCCCTGTGGACCAGGCGTTCCCAAACTTTTTACACAGGGGGCCAGTTCACTGTCCCTCAGACCGTTGGAGTGCTGCCACATACTGTGCTCCTCTCACTGACCACCACTGAAAGAGGTGCCCCTTCCTGAAGTGCAGCAGGGGGGCCGGATAAATGGCCTCAGGGGGCCATAGTTTGGGGACGCCTGCTGTGGACCCTTTGCCCACCTCACAGTTGCCCACTCTCCTCTTCCCAAGGCTCCTCACGCTTCCCAATGGCGTCCTTCAGATCCTGGATGTTCAGAAGGGTGATGCGGGCTCCTACCGCTGTGTGGCCACCAACTCAGCTCGCCAGCGCTTCAGCCAGGACGCCTTACTCAGTGTGGCCCACAGAGGTAAAGGCTGGCTGGGTGGGCAAACCTGAGCGTTTCTGGAGCCAGCCACTTCAGAGCCGGGAGGGACCTCAAGAGGTCCAGGCCTTGCCTTCCAGTAGGTGATGGGTGTTAGTCCCATTGACAAGTGAGGCGATGAAGCCCAGAGAGAGCACTGCCACCCAGCCACCCAGCAAAGTGGAGAACTGGGCTGGAACACAAGACCCGGGACTCCGGTGCGGGGCTCTTCTCTTCATACAGAGCCTGTGTGCCCTCGGGTGGATGGAGCATCGAAGGCTGGGGACAGAGGTGGGGAGGTGGGGCATCTGAGGGGGCTCAGCCTCTGGAAGCCCTGGTTCTTGCCCCTTTCTCTGCCAGCCTTCTGTAATCACTGCGGGGTTCAGGCACTGCGGGATTCGTCCCTCTGCTTTCTGTGCCCTGCAAATCTGGCTCCCTGTGGCCTCGCGCTCTTGTCCTTTACTCTGTTTCTTTGAAAGGCTCTTGCCCCAGTGTGATGGAGTAGGAAGGGCACAGGTTTTGGGGTTGGAAAAACACGGTTTGAATCTTGGCTTCTCTGCTTTCACCATCTGCGTGACCCTGGGCTCCTTATCAAATGTCCAGCTCAGAGAGGCTCGGAGAGTCGTTGAGATGAGTATGGAAAGTGCACCTGGCAGGTGCTCAACAGATGTCACTTCAGACCTCCCCCAGGGCCCTCCCTTGCTTCCCTTTGCCAGGCATCCCTCCCACCTCCCACTCCCCTCCCCGCACTCCACCCGTCCCCACCCTGTTCCTTCTGGGCTGAGCTGGTGGGCTGCTCCCAGTTGGGTGGCCTCTCCCTCCTGTTCTGGGGGCCTCTGCCTCCACCTGCTGGACAATCCAGATATTCACCACTCCACCCAGGGGGCCAGGGTCACATGGAGAACGGGCAGGAAATCAGGGTTTAGGGAGCCGCCACGCAGGCAGAAACTCAAGCCCACTGTCTGCCTTTTCCACCGGTGAATCCAGGGCCCTTTGGAGAAGGGATTTGCCTAAGGCCACCCAGTGCATTAATGGCAGTACTGGAACTAGAAACTATGACTGTTGACTCCAAGTCTGGTGCTTTGTCCATGACCCTGTGACAGTCCTCTGCCTAGAGGGTGGGCTGCATTTGGGAGGGAAGAATGGAGGTAGTCGTGGGTCTGTCTAATCATTTCTCTGGTGCTGAGCTGAAGCTCAGGCAATTCTTCTAGCTCCAAAAGAAAGAACTTAGAGGTCTAGTCCCAGCCCTGCTGAATTTTATGACCACCTTCCCCCATCTGACAGATGGAACCATTGCTGCTGTCCCCGGTACCAACTCACCAGGTTACTGTGAGCCTCGGGCGAGGTATTGCATGGCAAATGTCCAATGGTAAGTCTGTCTGCTGATCCATCTTTTCTTCAGGGTCCCTGGCATCCACCACGGGGCAGAGCGTGGTCATCGTGGCAGCCCCAGAGAACACCACAGTGGTGTCTGGCCAGATTGCAGTGATGGAATGCGTGGTCTCAGGTGACCCCACCCCTCTTGTGTCCTGGGTCCGAAAAGGTGAGTGGAGGGAGTGGAAGGTGGAGGGCATGGAAAGGGAGGGATGTGGCATCTCATATGCCCCTAAGTCAGGGGGATTTATGGGTGACCCGTCAGTGGTCACCAACCTTCTGGTGTGGCAGGAACGCCTTTCCCAGGACTGGCTGTGGTGTACAGGGCCGGAAGTTGTGCTGGGAATCTGGACAGGCTTTATCATCACTCTGTGTAGCATGTACTTTACAAAAGCACCTCCAGGCTGCCACTTACAGAATGGTTATTGCAGCCCTCCTCAGGGCAGGCGCTGGACTAGACTCTCCACCTTACCTATTTCTGTTCCTCACAATAGAGTTACAAGTGAGTACTTGAGAGCTAGGAAGGTGCCGCACAGCCACTGAATCGGGTGGAACCAGACCCTTCTGCTGGGCCGTGTAACTACAAGGCCAGCTCTGGGTCCACCCCAGCATGCTGTTGCCTTTGTGTGCCTGGCATCATGCTGGGCACAATGAACAAAATACGGAGAGGAGGGACCCTGCCCTCTGAACTCATTGTCTTGTGAAGGGGAGAAAATACATATCTGTGAAGAGAGGTGTGACAGTATCAGGCTACAAGTGAGAAGTGCCACTGAGTGACTGGAGATGCCAGCAGGGTAACAACAGCGCTGGGCCAAACATCGTGAGCAGTCTCCTGCACCTGCTCTCCTGTCAGAGCCTCCGAGAGCCCTTTGGGGAGAGTAGGGGCCAGAACTATTATTCCTAGTGGGCAGATGAGGAAACTGAGGCTCAGAGAGGCAGCTGGAAGAGCCAGGACCAAGCTTTTGAGTCTGTTCTCTTTCTGGTATGCCACTTCCTGTAATCCTGTAGTAAGAAAGCAAGGGTTATTTTTGTTTCCATTCGTTGTCAAAAAGTGACTTGGCAGAAGTAAGTTTCAAATCCAGTTTTCTTTACCCCTTTCCCCAACTCGTTCTGTTACCCTATACATATTGTTTAAAAATAAGTTGATATATCATATATCATGGATAGATATAGTTTAAAGAAAATGAATTGAATAGCTATCAATATGTGTCCATCACTGAGCTGATGAAATAGAACAGCACTGGCATTTTGGCACCTATCTGACCTGCTCTGCCTCATTAGACCTGTGACACCTGCCTACCTAGGGGGCCAGCAGGATCTTCATATTACTGGGATAAACTTGTGGTGTCACCTAGAAGTTCTAATGTCAATATTTCTTTTTTTTCTTTTTTTTTTTTTTTGAGACGGAGTTTCGCTCTTGTTACCCACGCTGGAGTGCAATGGCGCGATCTCGGCTCACCGCAACCTCCGCCTCCTGGGCTCAGGCAATTCTCCTGCCTCAGTCTCCTGAGTAGCTGGGATTATAGGCACGCGCCACCATGCCCAGCTAATTTTTTTGTATTTTTAGTAGAGACGGGGTTTCACCATGTTGACCAGGATGATCTCTTGACCTCGTGATCCACCCGCCTTGGCCTCCCAAAGTGCTGGGATTACAGGCTTGAGCCACCGAGCCCGGCCCAATATTTCTTAATTCCTGACCGTGCATCAGGGTCGCCTAGAGGACTTGTTAAAACTGTAGACTCGCCGGGCGTGGTGGCTCAAGCCTGTAATCCCAGCACTTTGGGAGGCCGAGGCGGGTGGATCACGAGGTCGACAGATCGAGACCATCCTGGTCAACATGGTGAAACCCCGTCTCTACTAAAAATACAAAAAATTAGCTGGGCATGGTGGCGCGTGCCTGTAATCCGAGCTACTCAGGAGGCTGAGGCAGGAGAATTGCCTGAACCCAGGAGGCGGAGGTTGCGGTGAGCCGAGATCACACCATTGCACTCCAGCCTGGGTAACGAGAGCAAAAACTCCGTCTCAAAAAAACAAAAAAACAAAAAAACAAAAAAACTGTAGACTCCTGATCTCCATTCCTATCTGTAGGATTGCATGAAAAAAAATAACAAAACAAAACTGTAGACTCCTTTCTTCACCCTGGAGAGTCATCATCTTTTTTTTTTTTTTTTTTTTTGAGCCTGTCACTCAGGCTGGAGTGCAGTGGTGCAGTCACAGCTCACTGTGGCCTTACCTTTTGCCAGCTCAGGTGATCCTTCTACCTCAGCCTCCTGAGTAGTTGGGACTACAGGCATGTGCCACTATGCCCATATTTTTTTTGTAGAGATAGGGTTTCTACTATTTTAGAAAAAAGGTGGAGGTTGTGGTGGGCTGAGATCACGCCATTGCACTCCAGCCTGGGCAACAAGAGCAAAACTCCGTTTCAAAAAAAAAAAAAAAAAAAAAAAAAAGAAAGAAAAGAAAGAAAGGAAAAGAAAAAAGAAAAGAGACGGGTTTCTATATGTTGTGCAGGCATGTCTCAAACTCCTGGGCTCAAGGTATCTGCCCATTTGGGCCTCCCAAAGTGCTGGGATCACAAGTGTGAATCACTGTGCCCAGTGCTCCATCTGAACGTATAGTTTTTGGTTCTACTACCCAGGACTATTTAGAAATGCAGAATCTGGGGTCCTGCCTCAGGCCTCTACATCTTAGCAACCTGCTAATCTGTGATTTGTGTGTACGGTAAGGATTTGAGAATTGCTGTTCCTGAAGATCCTGACACCCAGGAAGAGAAGGGCTGGAAAGGAGCTTCGTTCCTGACCCCAAGCACTGCTCTCTTTCCAGGAACTTACTCCACTAAGTCAGGGAAGGGGCAGGGCATGGGTTTTTTTGTTTTTGATTTCGTTTTTCTATTTTTTTTTTTTTGAGCCAGAGTTTCATTCTGTCACCCAGGCTGGAGGGAAGTGTTGGGATGTCGGCTCACTGCAATCTCTTCCTGCTGGGTTCAAACGGTTCTCCTGCCTTAGCCTCTGGAGTAGCTGGGATTACAGGCGTGTGCCACCATGACTGGCTAATTTTTGTGTTTTTAGTATGGGGTTTTGCCATGTTAGCCAGGCTGGTTTTGAACTCATGACCTCAAGTAATCCACCTGCCTCGGCCTCCCAAAGTGCTGGGATTACAGGTGTGAGCCACCGCATCTGGCTGTTTTGTTTTCTGACTGCAAAGGTTGTACATGTTCACTGTAGAAAACTAAGAAAAAAATAGATGCAGAAAACACTCCGACACTCAGAGATAAAAATTGTTTATGCACCAGTATACCTTCTTTCAGTTTTTTTTTTTTTTTTCCTGTGCCTATGGACAGTTTTCATCCTGAAATTGAGATCATGTGCTGTATTTACAGGTCCAGGTCCATTCAACAGTATATCATAAGCATTTCCCTGCCTTTAAAACTTTTTCAGGCCGGGCGCGGTGGCTCAAGCCTGTAATCCCAGCACTTTGGGAGGCCGAGGCGGGTGGATCACGAGGTCGAGAGATCGAGACCATCCTGGTCAACGTGGTAAAACCCCGTCTCTACTAAAAATACAAAAAATTAGCTGGGCATGGTGGCGCGTGCCTGTAGTCCCAGCTACTCAGGAGGCTGAGGCAGGAGAATTGCTTGAACCCAGGAGGCGGAGGTTGCGGTGAGCCGAGATCGCGCCATTGCACTCCAGCCTGCGTAACAAGAGCGACACTCTGTCTCCAAAAAAAAAAAAAAAAAACAAAAAAAAAACACCTTTTTCAAAATAACTTTAAGGACTAACATTCCATGCTTTGAATATAGCTATAATGTAATTCACCAGTTCCTCCTGTTGGATTTTTAAGTCCTGTCCAGTTATCCACTGTTATAGTTACACTGCAGTGATCTGCTCTGTTCACAAATACTTGCTTGTAATTCTGATCATCTTCCTAGGTCAGGTACGCATAAATCGAGTCCTTGGCTTCAAGCCCTGGGTGAAGCTCCTTTATGGCCCTTTGTCCAGTATTGCAATTTACTATTTTTTAAAAAGTTCTCAAGTTGAAGGGTGAAAACTAACATCTGTGTTTTAATATCTTTTTTTAAAGTTGACGGGTAAAAACTAACATCTGGTGGGTTGGTTTGTTTGTTTGTTTTTGAGTCTTGCTCTGTCACCAGGTTGGAGTGCAGTGGCATTATCTCACTGCAACCTTGCAACCTCCACCTCCCAGTTCAAGAGATTCCACTGCCTCAGCTTCCTGAGTACCTGGGATTACAGGCTTGTACCACCATGCCCAGCTAATTTTTGTGTTTTTAGCAGAGACAGGGTTTCACCATGTTGTCCAGGATGGTCTCAATCTCCTGACATTGTTATCCACCTGCCTTGGCCTCCCAAAGTGCTGGGATTACAGGCGTGAGCCACTGTGCCTGGCACATCTTGCATTTTAATATCTTTTTTTTTTTTTTAGTAGAGACCGAGTCTCTCTTTGTTGCCCAGCCTGGCCTTGAACTCCTGGCCTCAAGCTATCCTTCCACCTCAGCCTCCGTGGCTGAAGTACAGGCATGAGCCACCGTGCCCAGCCCACACCGTCCCCATCTGTTTTGAAGTGCATTTCTTTGATGACATGAAGTTGAACACTTTTGTGTTTCTTGTCTATTTGCATTGCTTCTCTAGATTTTCTGTTCATGTCTACAAGGCAAGGGCTTTTTAAGTGGTTTTCATTTCACAGTGAGATAAAAATCTGCACATTCAAATCATTGGCTTGGCCCCACCTACCAGCCCTAGCTTCATCATACTACTTGGGCTGGGACCCCAGGGAAGGAGCATGTCCTTCTTGAGATAAATGAATTTAGTAATAAAAACTATACTGAGCACCTATTATTAATATATTCCTGCACTGTGCCAGGGGTTCTCACATTCTTTCCACCCTCATGGAAACCCTTCCAGGTAAGGGCTAGCTCCCTTTACAGATGGAGACAGCAGGGCTCAGAGAGTCCCGGGGCTAGCAAGAGGAAGAAATGAGATTTGGACCAGGGACGGTTGTGCCCACTTTACCCAAGGCAAAGTGTTACTGAAGCCCAAAGGCTGGATGGAGGGACAGTCCCTGGCATCCCCTCCAGCGCGTCTCCCTCTCCTTCCCCAGACGGGAAGCCCATCTCCGCGGATGTCGTCGTCCTGGGCCGCACCAACCTCCTAATCGCCCACGCGCAGCCCCAACACTCTGGCATCTACATCTGCCGGGCGAACAAGCCTCTCAGGCGCGACTTCGCCACTGCCTCCGCCGAGCTCCGCGTGCTGGGTGAGGCGGGCCGAAGGGCGGAGGGAGCGGGTTGGAGCGGGTTAGCTGGGGCCAGGGTGAATAGGGCAGCGGGCGGTGGACAGGTGGGTGTGCTGGGGGGACTCAGGCGCACTCCTGGAGGACGAACTCGTGGGAGGAGTCCCTAGTGAGGCGGGGATGGGGCGAGGGATAGAGACCAGGTAACTGGAAGACGGAGTGGGGAGAGTTGCGCAGGGATGGAGGAAGAGGGGTGATTAGCGCCTGGCGCAGGTGATTGTGGGGGGAGGTGGGACTGGGGTTATTGGGGAGATAGTGATCTGGGTGGTACTAAGAAAATTGGGGGGGGGCAAGGTAGATCTGGTAGGTGTGGGAGACCTCGGAGGGCAGGAGGAAGGAGATGGGTAAGTTAGGGGTGGGGTTAGATTCGGGAGGAGCGGTATTTAGGGGAGGCTGAGGAGGTCTGGGGACAGTTTTGGGAGAGGAAGAGAATGGTGATTGTGGGGCTGGGGTAAATGGGGGGAAGAAGGGGTAGGTCTTTTCTAAGCGGGAGTAGTTTGGGGAGGGTGAATCAGGGAGAGGTCGGAGTGATTGAAAGGGGAGCGGGGGAGGGCGGTGAGGGGCAGGGTTGGGGTATGGGCGGGAGGAGCAGAGCCCTTGGCGGGAGCCCGCTCTCAGCGTCGCCCCTCGTGCCCCCAGCGGCTCCCGCCATCTCGCAGGCGCCCGAGGGGCTGTCGCGGACGCGGGCGAGCACAGCGCGCTTCGTGTGCCGCGCGTCGGGGGATCCGCGGCCGGCGCTACGCTGGCTGCACGACGGGGCGCCGCTGCGGCCCAACGGGCGCGTCAAGGTCCAGGGCGGCGGCGGCAGCCTGATCATCACACAGATCGGCCTGCAGGACGCCGGCTACTACCAGTGCGTGGCCGAGAACAGCGCGGGAACGGCGTGCGCTGCCGCGTCGCTGGTCGTGGTGGTGCGCGAGGGGCTGCCCAGCGCCCCCACGCGGGTCACGGTCACGCCACTGAGCAGCTCCGCTGTGTTGGTGGCCTGGGAGCGGCCCGAGCTGTACAGCGAGCAGATCATCGGCTTCTCTCTCCACTATCAGAAGGCTCGGGGTAAGTTGGCTGGGGGCTGGATGCACCAGCTCAGGCGCAGGTGGGGCTTATCGGGGAGGGGTTCAGGTCGGATGCTGAAAGGTTTGCCTGATGGGTACTTCTGCAGGGAGGATGGGCTGGGATAGGAGCCCATAGGAGAGACCCCCATAGGTATGGATTACCTACCATACGTGGTTTCCAGCTGGTGCTGGAAGGGCTGCTGCTTCCCTCAGCCACATTTGTTATGAGAGAGGAGGGAGAGGACGTTCCTGGAGCCACCTCCCACCCCAGTTAACTAACTGCGCGGGGTGGGGGTGGGGGGATCATTTCCAGAAAGCACCCTTAACCAGTGGAGGGATTCATAGAGTGAGACAGGAAGCTGAGGGAGTTTATACACTCCAGCTCAGATTATCTGGGATGATTTAGCTGTAAATAGACACCGGGACAATATGAAGGATTCCTAGACAGACTCCAGCTGGCCAGCACTGGGGGTGGCACTATCACAGTCCCCTTGTCCCCTGTGTCGCCAGGCATGCACAATGTGGAATACCAGTTTGCAGTGAACAACGACACCACGGAACTACAGGTTCGGGACCTGGAACCCAACACAGATTATGAGTTCTACGTGGTGGCCTACTCCCAGCTGGGGGCCAGCCGCACCTCCGCCCCAGCACTGGTGCACACGCTGGATGATGGTAGGGCCTCTGAACCAGCAATGGGCAGCTTGTGGGAAAGAGAATTCCCTGGGGATAATAGCTCGCCTTCTCTTTACTAATGTAAAGGCATTTTTACCTGCTCACATCATCTTTTGTGCCCTGTAAGAGAGTGGGCAGGGGTTCTTCTCCTCAGTTTACAGTTGGGAAAGCTGAGGCCCAGAAAATGAGAGTGACTTGCCCAAGGTCAGGAGTTCAGCTGGGACTTGAGCCCAGGTCTTGTGATGATTCTGTGTGTCATGCGGTTCTTCTCCCTGACACCTGTGTGTCATCCAGCTGGGGTAGGGGCCAGTGACATTAACCTGTTAGACGTGGAAGATTGTGCTCCAAGCCTTCTTCCAGCTTCAGGGTGGGGAAGATGTCCCCTCACCGTTCAGCTTAGGAGCTCCCCTGAGAAGTTCCCTTTCCTCCCTCAGATACTGGTCCCGGCCTGCTTCTGACTTGCTGTGTGACCCAGGCAAGTCTCTGACTGCTCCCGAGCCTCACCTTCCGTGTCGGTGGAGCAGAGCTCACGCTGATGTTATTCTGTCTCAGTCCCCAGTGCAGCACCCCAGCTCTCCCTGTCCAGCCCCAACCCCTCGGACATCACGGTGGCGTGGCTGCCCCTGCCCCCAAGCCTGAGCAATGGGCAGGTGGTGAAGTACAAGATAGAATATGGTTTGGGAAAGGAAGGTGAGTAGGGGTGGTGGGGGAGCCAGGCATGGCTAAGAATGATCAATGTGAAGAGTAGTCAGGGCTGCTGGAGACCTGAGCAGGGTAGGGGAGTCAGAAGAAAGGAAGCAGAGTAGGGGTTGGGGAAGGGTGAACCTCAAAAAGAGGGGTGTGGGCAGGAATGAAAAGGGAAGACAGAGGGGACTAGCTGAAGGCAGAGGGAGGCCTGGGCTCTCACCCCACCCCCTCTGCAGTGTGTAATCCTACTGAGTCCCTGCCTCAGTTTCCTTATCTGGGAAATGAGGCCAGTAACCTAGGTTATCTCTGGAGTCCCTTCCAGCTCAAAAAGCAGATGTGGGGTTGGGAGGTCGAAGATATGCTTGTGGGAATGGGAAAATGGGGCATAGGGGAGGATGTGTAAGGGCAGATATAGGTAATGTGGGGGAGACATAATGAAAGGGATAAAGGCTGGGCCCGGTGGCTGATGTCTGTAATTCCAGCACTTTGGGACATCAAGGCAGGAGAATGGCTTAAGTACAGGGGTTTGAGGCCAGCCTGGGCAATATAGTAAGACCCTCATATCTACAAGAAAAAAATATTAAAACTTAGCAGGGTGGCCGGGCGCGGTGGCTCAAGCCTGTAATCCCAGCACTTTGGGAGGCCGAGGCGGGTGGGTCACGAGGTCAAGAGATCAAGACCATCCTGGTCAACATGGTGAAACCCCGTCTCTACTTAAAATACAAAAAATTAGCTGGGCATGGTGGCACATGCCTGTAATCCCAGCTACTCGGGAGGCTGAGGCAGGAGAATTGTCTGAACCCAGGAGGCAGAGGTTGCAGTGAGCCGAGATCGCGCCATTGCACTCCAGCCTGGGTAACAAGAGGGAAACTCTGTCTCAAAAAAAAAAAAAAAACTTAGCAGGGTGTGGTAGCATGCACCTGTGGTCCCAGTTACTTTTGGGGCGGGTGGGGAGGGCTGAGGTGGGAGTATCACTTGAGCCCAGGAATTCAAGGCTGCAGGGAGCTGTGATTGTGCCGTTGTACTTCCATCTGGGCCACAGAGCAAAACTGTCTCAGAAAAAAAGAAAGAAAGAAAAAGATAAAAAGTTAGGAGAAGGAAAGTGGCTGAGGAACCAGGGGAAGGGTCAGGCAGGAGGGAAGGATGAGGACCATGGTGGCCCCCAGGGCTCTGGAAACCAGACAGTGCTTCCTGGCCTTCATGGCCAGGCCCTTGTGTCTGCATCCTGTGTGTGTGTATTGGCAGGGGGTGGTCACTGCCAGCTCCGGAGGAAGCGGGGAAAGCCTGCCATCATTCTCCCTGCAGCTGAGCCCAGACTGATGGCCTGCATCAGCCAAAGTTGGAGGCTCAAGCATCATCCCTGGAGCCATAGAGTCTGCCCAGACACTGAGGGGGTCAGTGCTGAGAACGCCTCAGGCTCCCACGGGCACGAGGAACCAGGACGGTGGGTGGAAGAGCGATGTAGGGGAGTTTAGGATCCTGGTCCTCAGGTGGCTACCCAGCAGCCCACCTTTTCTCTCCCTGCAGATCAGATTTTCTCCACCGAGGTGCCAGGAAATGAGACACAGCTTACGCTGAACTCACTTCAGCCAAACAAGGTGTATCGAGTACGGATTTCGGCTGGTACCGCGGCCGGCTTCGGGGCTGCCTCCCAGTGGCTGCAGCATAGGACGCCCAGTATGTACAACCAGAGTCACGGGATGGGGTCGGAGGAGAGACAGGACAGTGTGTGTGTGACCTTGGGACCCAGCACCCTGCCCGCCCTCCCTCCATCAGAGACCTTCTGCTTGGAGGGAGGCTGCCTCTGCTTGATGGGTGAACGAGGCTCCGGTGCAGAGGGGAAGGGCTGGGCTCTGATGTCCCTTCTATTTGCTGTGTGACCTTGGACGAACCATTCTTTGGCTACATTTACTGCCTGGGAATGGCATGAGGTTGAATAATGTGTTGTAACTAAAGTGCTTAGTACATAAAAAGGGATATACTATTCGTTGAATAGTAGCTGCTTCGAGGAGGAGGAGAAGGATGATGATTGTTTTTGTTGAAGGACCCAATAGAAGGGTGATTAAATGCTGACCAAACCAGGCTACGTGCTCTCTCTGTGACACCGGGCAAATTACTTAACTCTCTGAGCTTCCGTTTTCTTATCCATAAAGTGAAGTTTGTAGTATTTTCACTATTTTAGAGGGTTGTGAGAATGAAGTGATAGTATACATACGAAGCATGTAAGACAGTGTTTGACATATGGCTCCCCACTCTCATGTGGGTCTCCCTACTCTAATGGTGACATCTCTCCTTCCTGGCCTCAGCAACCACCCCCCCTGCACTGCCCCTGGCATTTAATCCTCCAGGAGACTTAACAGAGGCCGATTCTGTGCCAGGTGCTATCAGCCTGCTCCAGAGGTGCTCCTTGCTGACTCCTTTGCAAATGCCCAGCAGACACCCCCTGCATTCCCTGCACTCGGTGCTTGTAGAATAGTGAGTTCACCTCTAGACTGAGCCCAGGCCTGGCACTTAGGGTGGTGGCTGAGTGGTGACGCATCGGGAGAATGCTGGCAAGGCTCTCACTGAATGCCATCTTCCTGTCTCCTCATGCCTCTTCCTCGTCTCCCATCCCCGGCCTCCTTCTCATTCCCTGTTCTGTTCCTTAGTTTTCCTGTCCTGCTCCTCTGCCCCCAGTTCCTTTTGCCCCTGCAGAGTTGAAGGTGCAGGCAACGATGAAGTCCCTGGTCGTGTCATGGCAGCCACCCCCTCACCCCACCCAGATCTCTGGCTACAAACTATATTGGCGGGAGGTGGGGGCAGAGGAGGCAATGGTGATCGCCCGCCAGGGGCCCATGGAGACCAGGCTTGGGATGTGGGGTCCGTCCGGCTCAAGAAGAAAGTGAAGCAGTAAGAACTGACCCAGCTAGGTGAGGAGGGCTGGGGGGAGGGAGAGAGAGGGACATAGGTTCAGTGGGGACCAGACAAGCTGTGTGAAGGAGTTAGAGATGGGGTGCTCTCTGTGAATGGGGGAGTGACCCAGATGTCCCCCTAGCCGTGAAGCCCTATAACCTTCCCCAGTCCCTGGCCAGCTGTATGAGGTGAAACTCGTTGCATTCAACAAATATTAGGACAGCTATGCAGCAGTGTAGAAGGGCAAGACGGAGACGGCGCCCACACCAGGTGAGCGTGGCGGGGGAAGAAGGCGGAGCGGACTCAGGCCAGGGCTCTGCTAGCTGCTTCCCCTTCCTTTCCTTTGGGCCAGCCTGGTAAGCAGGCACTTCGGGAGCTTCAGCTCACTCCCAAACCCATTCTCCTAGGATCAGGGGTCCTCTTCTAGCTCCTGAGAGCCTCTGGCATGGAGAGAAAGTCGTTTGATCACTGTCTCTTAGGTCTGCTACCTTATTTTTATTAGCCGTGAATACTGCTGATTTGCAAACTTCGAACAGAGGGAAACCCCATGGTTGATCAGTAACTCCTGACCCCAAGTTTGACCTTAAAACAAGTTTTATCTTAAACACATTTGTCGCTGGGCGCGGTGGCTCAAGCCTGTAATCCCAGCACTTTGGGAGGCCGAGGCGGGTGGATCATGAGGTCAAGAGATCGAGACCATCCTGGTCAACATGGTGAAACCCTGTCTCTACTAAAAATACAAAAAATTAGCTGGGCATGGTGGCGCGTGCCATGTAATCCCAGCTACTCAGGAGGTTGAGGCAGGAGAATTGCCTGAACCCAGGAGGCGGAGGCTGCAGTGAGCCGAGATCGCGCCATTGCACTCCAGCCTGGGTAACGAGAGCGAAAACTCTGTCTCAAACACACACACACACACACACACAGATTTGTCTACATCACATGATCAGACTATCTCTCGACTCTAAGAAAAGTGAGTACCCCTATGTGGCCTAGGGAAACTGAGGCTCAGAGAAGAAAAGGAATTTGTCCAAGGTTGCTCAGAGCCTAGACTAGAACCAGGACTCCTGGTTTCCAGGCAAAACTCTTTCTACTGCACTACGCTGCCTTGTGGCCCTTATTGGACACCTCAGTTGCTATCATGACACTCCCTCACCCCTACCTTTCCAGCCATGTGGTTTAGCAGAGGGAGAACTCAACCAGAAGCCATGAAGCCTGGGTTTTTTGTTTGCTTGCTTTGTTGTGTTGTGTTTTGTTTTTTGAGACAGAGTCTCAGCCTGTCGCCCAGGTGGCTGAAGTGCAATGGTGCGATCTTGGCTCGCTGCAACCTCTGCCTCCCGGGTACAAGCGACTCTTGTGCCTCAGCCTCCTGAATAGCTGGGACTATAGGTGTACGCCACCATCCCCAGCTAATTTTTGTATTTTTAGTAGAGACAGGGTTTCACCAATGTTGGCCAGGCTAGTTTCGAACTCTCCACCTCAGGTGATCCACCCACCCTGGACTCCCAAAGGGCTGTGATTACAGGTGTGAGCCACCACACCCAGCTGAGTTCTAATTCCAGTTTGTTCATTTATTCATTCAGCAAATATTTCACTGTCTATTAAGTGTCTACTTTGGGAATTTAGTGGTGGACAACACAAATAAGGTTCCTGCTCTCATGGGGTTTATTTTTTGTTTCTATAATAAACTCTCATCACATAGTGTTTATTATATTTCAGCCAATTTCATATCTATTTTTAAAAACATGAAATAATTTAATCCTCATAACAATCCCATGAGGTAGGCACTATCATTAGAATAGCGAATGGAGACACAGAGATAGTAAGTAATTTCTCCAAGGTCACACAGCTAGTAAGTGTCAGAGCTGGAATTTGAACCAAGGCAGCCTGGTTCCAGAGTTTTGCTGCCTCTCTATTATGTTCTTACAGACTAATGTTCCACAGTCAAAAATCAAATTCTTGGAAGCCGCAGTTTCCTTATCTGTGAAGTAGGAATGATGCCACTCAACTCACAGGATCAAAGGAGAGGGTCAAAGAAAGAGCCTTGGGAACTGTAAACCACTATATATATTTAAGGATGAGTATTGACCAGGTGTGGTGGCTCACACCTGTAATCCCAGCACTTTGGGAGGTCGAGGCAGGCTGATCATGAGGTCAGGATTTCGAGATCAGCCTGGCCAACATGCGGAAACCCTGTTTCTACTAAAGATACAAAAAATTAGGACTGGGCACAGTGGTTCATGCTTGTAATCCCAGCACTTTGGGAGGCCAAGGCAGGCAGATCACCTGAGGTCAGGAGTTCGGGACCAGCCTGACCAATATGGAGAAACCTTGTTTCTACTAAAATTACAAAAGTTAGCCAGGCGTGGTGGCACATGCCCGTAATCCCAGCTACTCAGGAGGCTGAGGCAGGAGAATCGCTTGAACCCGGAAGGTGGAGGTTGCAGTGAGCCGAGATCATGCCATTGCACTCCAGCCTGGGTGACAGGGTGAGACTCCATCTCAAAAAAAATAAAAAGAGTATTCTCCCTCCCATCCTCACACTCTGGTTTTCACCTTTCAGACATGCCCATCCAAAGGGGGCCACCCTTGCCCCCAGCCCACGTCCATGCGGAATCAAACAGCTCCACATCCATCTGGCTTTGGTGGAAAAAGCCAGACTTCACCACAGTCAAGATTGTCAACTACACTGTGCGCTTCAGCCCCTGGGGGCTCAGGAATGCCTCCCTGGTCACCTATTACACCAGGTGGGGACTAATGCCTTTACTGAAAAGGGGGGAGGAAGAGCAGGTAGGAGGCAGGGGGAAGGCAGCAAATAGTGATAAGGGCAGGGCCCCAGGATTCAGGAGCATGTCAAGGCTCACCCGTTACACTGGGGCCACACAGGGGGGCTGCACAGGGTCCACATCCTTGCCTGGTGACCAGATGGGAGCAAGGAGCCCATCTGATCCTGTCCTCTCAAAACAGAGCCTTGTTCTCATACTCTGGAGAAAGTGACACAGACCTGTTTCTCCAACCTCAAAGGGCTCCCAATCTGATGGTGAAGAGAGCCCGGCCCTTGTCCTCAGAGCTGTTCTTTCCACGTGTTATCAGATGGGGAGACAGAGCCTAAGGAGCTGCTGGCTCGTAGGAGGAAATTCGCATAAAAAGCAACTGATACATGCCATTGCCATGAAGGCAAGATTAAGGCAAAGAAAAGATACATCAGAGATGATTCCTTAGGTAGAGAATAACTTGGTTTAATCCAGGAAGGCTTCCTGGAGGTGGGCAGGGGGAGGGGCCTGGTTTCGAACTTGGATTTGGAGCAGCATACTTCCAGACTTCTCTGTAGGTCCCTGGGTAGAGGTAGTGGCTTGCAGGCCAGGGAGCGTCTTCTCTTCCCAGGGTAAGCCTGGGGCTGGCTGCAGGGGAGTAGATTTGGAGGGGTCTGCCCTGCTGGGAAAATGCCTGAGAGCACTAGTCACGTTTCTTGCCTTAGCAGTTCTGGAGAAGACATCCTCATTGGTGGCTTGAAGCCATTCACCAAATACGAGTTTGCAGTGCAGTCTCACGGCGTGGACGTGGACGGGCCTTTCGGCTCTGTGATGGAGCTCTCCACCCTGCCTGACCGTGAGTGGCCCCCAGCCTCTGGCCACCAACCTATCTTTTACCCAACTGCTTCTTGCCCCGGCGGCAAGAAGCATCCCTCAGAACCCCAGGTTTGGGCAGAGCTGGGGGCAGAAGAGCTTCTGGGAGGGGAGGAATGTCAAGTCCCGCCACCCACACACACTGTCTTCTAGAATTCCCCAACTAGAAACAAGACCTCATCTTTACGTTGTGGCTTGTTCCGTGAAGGAGGAAGAAGGGAGGTCATGTCCTCATGCTGTGTCTCCACCTCTGACATCTCTCCCCGTCTCCTCTCCCGCACCCCAGGGCCCTCCACACCCCCATCCGACCTGCAACTGAGCCCCCTGACACCGTCCACTGTTCGGCTGCGCTGGTGCCCCCCCACAGAGCCCAACGGGGAGATCGTGGAGTATCTGATCCTGTACAGCAACAACCAGACGCGGCCTGATCACCAGTGGACCCTGCTCACCACAGAGGGTAAGGACTTTTGCCCCAGGACGTCTGAGCGAGAGCTTCCCAGCTTCTCCCACTTCCAGCAGTGAGAGCAGTGCTAGGGTTTGTTCCACGGGCTTCCGGGAGAAGCAGGCAGAAGCTGCTGCCTGAGTGGAGAGCAGGCTTTCCCAGTCCCGCTTCCCTGCCCACCTCTGCATCCACCGCCACCCCGTCCACCATCCCTGCTCTCCCTGCCTCCCTCACCCCCAGGAAACATCTTCAGTGCTGAGGTACATGGCCTGGAGAGCGACACTCGGTACTTCTTCAAGATGGGGGCGCGCACAGAGGTGGGGCCTGGGCCTTTCTCCCGCCTGCAGGATGTGATCACGCTCCAGGAGAAGCTGTCAGGTATGAGAGCAGGGCAGCCTAGGGTTCCCGGAGACCCCTGGAGTTGACTTCCGTGCCCCTGCCTGTGGACAGAAGTCTAATTTCATTGTTTTACACAGCTATCCTCGTTTGGTGGGGGCAGAGCAACTGTGAAGGGGAAATAGGCGTGGTTCAGTGATGAGTGATGACTTGGTTCAGAGGTCAGGTTCATGGGGGACTGGCTTTGTTTTTTTTCGAGACTGAGTCTTGCTTTGTTGCCCAGGCTAGAGTGCAGTGGTGCAATCTCGGCTCACTGCAACCTCTGCCTCCTGGGTTCAAGCGATTCTTCTGCCTCAGCCTCCCAAGTAGCTGGGATTACAGGTGCATGCCACCACGCCTGGCTAATTTTTGTGTTTTTAGTAGAGATGGGGTTTCATCATGTTGGCCAGGCTGGCCTTGAACTCCTGACCTCAGGTGATCCACTCGCCTTGGCCTCTCAAAGGGTTGGGATTATAGGCGTGAGCCACCTCGCCCAGCTGGGCTTTTTTTTTTTTTTTGGATGGAGTTTTGATCTTGTTGCCCAGGCAGGAGTGCAATAGTGCCATCTCGGCTCACTGCAAACTCTGCCTCCTGGGTTCAAGAGATTCTCCTGCCTCAGCCTCCCGAATAGCTGGGATTACAGACACATGCTACCACGCCCGGCTAATTTTTGTATTTTTTTTTCTTTTTGAGGCAGAGTCTTGCTCTGTTGCCCAGGCTGGAATGCTGTAGCATGATTGCAGCTTATTGCAACCTCTACCTCCCGAGTTCAAGCGATTTGCCTGCCTCAGCCTCCTGAGTAGCTGCGATTATAGGCGCACACCATCATTCTGGCTAATTTTTGTATTTTTAGTAGAGATGGGGTTTCACCATGTTGTCTAGGCTGATCTCAAACTCCTGACCTTGTGATCTGCCCTCTTCAGCCTCCCAAGGGAATTACAGATGTGAACCACTGCACTTGGTCAATTTGTGTATTTTTAGTAGAGACAGGGTTTCACTACATTGGCCACGCTGGTCTCGAACTCCTGACGTCAAGTGATCCACCTGCCTTGGCCTCCTGAAGTGCTGGGATTACAGGTGTGAGCCACTGTGCCAAGCCAGGACTAGATTTAAAGACCAGTTTCTTTGGGAAATTGCTTTGATTGGAGGATTAGCTTGGTGAGGTGATGAGCTTTATGGGGTGGAGGTGGACAGCAGGACTGGCTATATAATTTCCAGGACCCAGTGCAAAATGAAAAGGTTCGATCCCTTATTTTAAAAATTAGAGGTCAGGCATGGTGGCTCGTGCCTGTAATCTAAAGGCTCATGCACTTTGGAAGACTGAGATGGAAGGATCACTTGAGGCCAGGAGTTGGAGACCAGCCTGGACAACATGGTGAAATCCTGTCTCCACAAAAAATTTAAGAATTATCTGGGTGTGGCAGCTCATGCCTGTGGTCACAGCTGCTTGGGAGGCTGAGGTGGAGGATCACTTGAGCCAAGGAGGTTGAGGCTGCAGCGAGCCGTGTTCATGTCACTGCACTCCAGCCTGGGTGATAGAACAAGATCCTGTCTCGGAAAAAAAAAAAAAAAAATTTTTTTAAGATGGTGACAGCGGAGCATTAACTCAAGTGTAGGGCCCATCCAAGCATAGGCTCTGCACACCTGGACCTGCACGTGTTGCACACCCATGCAACAGCCCTGGGGCAGGCAACTCGTGTTTCACCAAAAGGCCAATTTGAGGAGGAGAGACCACAACCTCTGGGTGTGTTTCAGGGAGGACAGTCAGAGGGAGAGGCAGTAGTAGTTTCTGTGAGACCACAGGGCCCTCTTGTCCTTGTATCAGAAGATTGTGAGTATCTGAAGGGTGAGGCTGCAGCTGATGTCTCCTGCGAAAGCCATGGATAGGCCTGATCTTCTGTCCTGACCTGCTCTGTGCCTCTCTCTCCCCCACCAGACTCGCTGGACATGCACTCAGTCACGGGCATCATCGTGGGTGTCTGCCTGGGCCTCCTCTGCCTCCTGGCCTGCATGTGTGCTGGCCTGCGCCGCAGCCCCCACAGGTGGGCAGGGGAGCCAGCCTGATTGCAGGGAAGGGAGATTTCCAGGAAGGGCTGCAGAATGGGCCATCAAGGAAAGTGGCTATGACTTGCCTTGGCATTCCTGGAGCCCCAATAAAGTTAGGACTCTGGGATGAAGGGATCAGGGACAATGTCCTCATAAGAATGAAGAGTGGACTTAGGGCAGCCCCAGCCTACCCCCTACAGCAAGGCCAACAGAAATGCCTTGCTCCCACTTCCTTGGTAGCTGCCAGCATCTTGGAAAGAGGGGCCCCAAATCTCCAGATGCCATCAGGCTGTTTTGAACCATAGCAGTTTTTTCTCTTTCTTTCTTTCTTTCTTTTTTTTTTTTTTTTGAGGTGGAGACTTGCTCTGTCACCTAGGCTAGAGTGCAGTGGTGTAATCTCGGCTCACTGCAACCTCAGCCTCCTGGGTTCAAGTGATTCTCCTGCCTCAGCCTCCTAAATAGGTAGGATTACAGGCGCCTGCCACTGTGCCCAGTTAATTTCTGTATTTTTAGTAGAGATGAGGTTTCACCATCTTGGCCAGGCTGGTCTTGAACTCCTGACCTCGTGATTCACCCACCTCGGCCTCTCAAAGTGCTGGGATTTACAGGTGTGAGCCACTGCGCCCGGTGAACGATAGCAGTTTTTCTTACTCAGCACAGACCAGGAAAGCAAGTCTCAGAGATGAGCAGGAACCTGCCCAGAGACATAGGCTGGACCAGATCCCAGTCCCACCCCAACCCCTCACTCTGACCGCTATGCCTTGTTTTCCATCTTCCCTTCCAGGGAATCCCTCCCAGGCCTGTCCTCCACCACCACCACTGGGAACCCCACGTTGTACACCAGAGCTCGGCTTGGCCCCCCCAGTCCCCCAGGGGCCCATGAACTGGAGTCCCTTGTGCACCCCCATCTTCAGGACTGGTCCCCGCCACCCTCAGATGTGGAGGACAGGGCTGAAGTCCACAGCCTTATGGGTGGTGGTGTTTCTGACTGCCAGGATCACTCCAAGAGAAAGGTAGGTCTGCACCCCACATTGCAGCTCATTCCTAAATAAGACACCAGGGGGTGCTAGAGCATAACACGTGGCTCTGCCAGCACAGCCTACGTCCCCCTTGGAACCAGCTGGGGACGTGAGGGCCTCTCTGCCTCCTCCACGAAAGGGTTGGCTGGACAGGGAAGCACGTGGTCCTCCATCCCCTGGCAGATAGGTCAGTCTGGTTCTCACGAAGGAGAGGGCATCCCAGCAGGTGACTCAGGGTAGCCATCCCAAGAGTTGGGGAGGCCCCTAACACCCAGCCATCCCTGTATGGGGAGAAGAGGCCAGTCACCCTGGCTGTGGCCAAGTGGGACTGGGACCAGGGTAAGGTGAGGCCCCCACAGGGCTGGTCCCTTTCATGCTGGCAGGGGTGGCACATCCCACCCGGCTCCAACCCGTCCTCCCTCACTCGCCCCCCCTGGCTGGGACACCTCGGGCTTTGCAGAGTGTCTGGCGTTCTGCTCCCCTGCAGGAGGACTCATCCTCAGAGTCCATCTCTGACTCTCAGCCCTTTTGGTGTTCCTCCCCGAGACGTGGGGACGGAGAGAGCAGCGGGTGTGAGAGTCTGGACGCTGCTTCCCCGTGGTCCATCCACCTCCCTCCCCTGGGCTTCCCTCTCCCAGCCAGTCCTGCTTGTGCTCCTCAGTGTCCCCTTCTCCCTGTACAGATCTCTTGGGCTCCGCCAATCGGGCCGAGCTGGGCAGCTTCCTGGGCGGGCTGTGAGCTGCCCCAGGCAGGCCCCCGGCCAGCTCTGACCCGGGCTCTGCTGCCTCCTGCTGGAACTGGGCAGACGCTGTTGCTGCAGGCTCTGGTGTATGAAGCCATCAAGGTCAGCGTCCTGGGAGAAAGGGGCAGGAAAGGAGGGAAGGGTCTCTGTGCTTGTGAAGAGGAAGTAATGAGTTCTTTGGAGACCCCTGGGTGGTAACTTCCCTGGCGATAGAAGTCTAGCCAGGAAACCCCTGGAGCCTCCAAAGGTTGAGTATGTGGAGGGCAGGCCAGTTGGCAGGAAACTGTTTCAACCTGGGTTGAAAACAGTCCCTCCGCTACCCAGACCTAAGTGGGCCACAGCAGTTCTGTGGATCTGAGGGTGTGGCTGGCCTGAGTAATTCAGCCCTTCCTCCTCTCCCCAGAGGCCCCGACTGAGGCTGATACTCCTGAAACTCCTGGGCGAGGGCAAATGGGAAGTATTTCATCATCCCCTGCATGGATCTGTTGGCATGGGTTCCAACAGTTCCCGCGTATCCTTTCTTTACCAGCTCTCGTGTGATAGCTACTCTGATGGAGGGTCAGTCTCTTTGCCCCATGTCTGCTGGTCATTCTGATGATGATTTGTCTCAGTAATGGTCACTATGTCTCTGTGTTCTCTGCTCTGATCAGGGCAATGGGAGGAAGAAGTCACCCCCCACCTGCAAGAACCAGGTGGAGGCCGAAGTCATCGTCCACTCTGACTTTAGTGCATCTAAGGAGAACCCTGACCTCCATCTCCAAGACCTGGAGCCTGAGGACCCCCTGCGTCCGGAGGCTCCTGATCTCATCTCAGGTGTTGGGGATCCAGGGCAGGGGGCAGCCTGGCTGGATAGGGAGCTGGGAGGGTATGTGCTGGCAGCCCCCGGGCCAGACAGACTTACCTGCTTGCCAGAGGCTTCCTGCTCCTACCCAGACCTCCAGCCAGGCAAGGTGCTGGAGATCCCTGAAGACAGCTGCCAGCTCAAAGTCCCCTGCCCTCTAGGAGCCAGCCCAGGCCTGCCCGGATCCCCAGTTTCCTCCTCTGCCTAGCTCCTCTCAGAGGGTTGGTTTTGGGCAGGCAGGTATGGATCACACAGGATTCGACACCTGAGGCCATGCATATCCACATGGGTGCCTGTAGATACATCCTCAAGCCCTTTGGAGCTTCCTAAGGTGCTTTGGCTGGGAGGGGAGAGGAAGAAATGGATTATTTACTCTCCTCATACTCTTTGTGATACACATGTGACATGTGAGAGACATATGAGACACAGCTACATGTGATTTGCACATATGTGAAGCGCACGTGTGTGGACTGGTTGGTGAGCTGGGAAGCCATAGCCCAGGCAGTAGTCACTACAGCCTGATTGGTCCTCCAGGTCAGGATGGTGACCCAGACTGGTCACTCCCCAGCCCTGTGGGCCCCCACCTCCATCACCCAGCCCTTTATTACACACTCTGAGAGTGTCTCCAGTGCCTGTCTGACAAAGACAGTCCCAGCCCGTTTTCCTGTCTGGCTGGGTTGAGTGCAAGTAGGCTCTGACTACCCAGCATTTTAGTTGCATCACCTCCCAGCTCTTTATTACCCCAATTGAGAGGATGACCCTGGCTCCCCTCTGAGCAACTCCGCATTGAATTTTCTAATTTGGGAAGTGCCTGGTTTGGAAAATCGGCTTTCTGCCGCTCTGCCCCTCCTTCCTTGCCGCTGACTGCTCTAGCGGTCTGTCCCCAGTCACCTCGTTCTCCCACCGCCAGTGCCCTTCTGCTCCCGGATACTCTTCCCTTTTCTCTCTCCTGTTTTCCTTCCTCTGCCGTCTCTCGCGCCTCTTCCCAGACTGCATCATCTGGTTCTCCTGCCTGGGTTCAAACTGTGCATCCTTCTCTAACAACATGACTACCTCATGTCTGCTTTAGGCCCTCGCGCGGACGCGCGTGTCCACGCTGCGGGCCACTCCCCTGCCATCCTCCGGCCTCCTCTTCACTCAGTGCTTCTGCTTGCCCCGCCCCAGGTAGCCCGCCCGCGCCCAGTGCGGGTGCGGAGAAGACCTCCCGGCTTCCCGCGTCTTTCCCGCTCCTCTGCATGTTTCTCCTTGGGACTGGGATCCGAGGGTTCTCCTTGGATGGATCCAGTTCATAGAGGAGAATGTTTGAAACAGGGAAGGGGACTGTGACCCAGAGGCTCAGAATAAAAATATGCCCTCCCTTCTATGCAGGGGGGCAAGTTTACTGGATGGAGATGATTCAGGGCCTTTCTGCCAGCAGAAGCTAAAGGAGGAGAAGGAGTGAGAGTTCAGCGAGGCCCTTCCCACCCTGTGACTTGATCTGGGTTGGGGATGAGAGGAATCTCACCCTCTGGGGTGCTGGCAGGGAGGTCTTTGCACAGGAAAAGGGTTAGCTCATTTCTGTTTGTTTTTCTTTAAATTGAATCCTCAAATCATGTTCTGTTTACCGGCTGCAAAGGGACGAGCTTGACTTCTATTTTCTGTGTAGTGAAAACAATGTCATTTATTTTGTTTTTCACCTCAGCCCTCTCATAGGAGCATAGATGTCAAGGTCTTTACTCCCTAATGGTGTCGGATGGGTGCATCAAGAGTTAACTCTGGCTTCTGGGCCAAATTCGAAATAACCAGTCCATTTTTCCTTTTTTTTTTTTTTTTTTTTTAATGGTGAAATGTCTCTCAACACAGTTGTGGCTGCCTCAAACCCTGAAAGCATCTGTGTTTATTACACCCGGGTGTCACTCACTGTTGATGTCTGCACCTACATTTCCACCTCCTCCCCCTCCTTCAGCCAGCCTACGATAACACTAAAGATTATTAATGTCGGTTTTGTATCTCGTTAAAAACAGAATTGTCACTTGCACTATTTCTGTAGCGTTCAGCACCGCACTGCTGTGGCTAACACCACTGTGTATGTTTCATCATCGCTCTGAAGGTCAAAAGCCTCATTTTATTTTGCTGGTTTGATTTTTTTTTTTTAAAGAAGAAAAAAAAACTGCCCTGAATTAAATGGCTATTTTAACAGTAGGCTCTTAGCATTATACCACAGTCATTTTTCATGTTCTTGTTTAACAGGCACTGAGGTTCTGGTTTAAATTAAATAGCTGCAAATGAGACAATTTATAACCCATTAGGTTGGGTGGAAAATTGTTTCTCAAAAGCAAATAAGTAATAAATCTGGTATCTGCCTATAACTCACAGTTGATAAGAAAGTGGCCATTTCTCACTAGCATTATGTATGATTTGGGCTCTGGGTAATTTGGAAGTGTTAGGTTTGTGTCTTTGTAGCAATATTTTTATTAGAAAAGAATCTATTGGCCTTTTACAGGGTATTAATCCCTTTGTCACCTACCATTGATGCCTTAAGTTTTTTGAGTCTCAATTAAAAATCTTCCTTTTTTTGATGCATGACAAGTGTCATCAGTACCTGCTCATTTATTTGTCTGTATTTAGTTTATGCTGTACTATTCAGTTATCCTTCCAGCATTTTCTTTTTCTCTTTACAAATATGATATTCTTTAGTGTTAAGCTAAGGCATTTATTCATGTATCTGTCTTTATAATTAATTAATAAACTATTTTCCAGAAATGCGGAATTCTCTTTTGGAACCATTGACTATGACTAGAATTTCCTCAGCCTTTCTGCTCTAGGGAGTTTATTTCTTACTGGGATGGGAAAAGTTGTTGCTGTTGCTGAGACAGGATCTCTCTCTGTCGCCCAGCCTGGAGTGTGGTGGCACAATCATGGCTCACTGCAGATCAACCTCCTGGGCTCAAGCAGTCTTTTTACCACAGCCTCCCGAGTAGCTGGGACTACAGACACATGCCACCATGCCTAGCTAGTATTAAATTTTTTTTTTTTTTTCTTTTCTGTAGAGATGTGCTCTTGCTATGTTGCCCAGACTGGTCTTGAATTCCTGGGCACGAGCCATCCTCCTGCCTCAGTTTCTGAAAGTGCTGGGATTACAGGCATGACCCACACCCCTTGGCCCAAAATAGTGTGTTTTTGTCTGTTTTTTTTTCAGACGAATCTCACTCTGATGCCCAGGCTGGAGTGCAGTGGCATGATCTCAGCTCACTGTAACTTTTGCCTCCCGGATTCAAGTGATTCTCCTGCCTCAGCCTCCCGAGTAGCTGGGATTACAGGTTCCTGCTGCCATGCCCAGCTAATTTTTGTATTTTTAGTACAGACGGGGTTTCACCATGTTAGGCAGACTGGTCTCGAACTCCTGACCTCAAGTGATCTTCCCGTCTTGGCCTCTCAAAGTGCTGGAATTACAGGCATGAACCCCTGTACCCGGCTAAAGAACTAAACCATCTTCCTCCTTCAACAGGCACTTAGGAAAAAGATGCCAACGTAGGAAAGATGGGTTCTTTGATGGCACTTCCTTAGACCCTCTGGGTATCTCTTTCCACCTGGGTACACATTTCTCTGAACTTTTTTTTGGGTGCAGGAAAGAGGGAACAACTCCAGAGATTTGGGGTCCACAACTATTCCGGTCACCAAAATTACTCATGACCACACAATCACACACATGTGCACTGTGTATACAAGCTCAGAGACCCACACATGCATACTTGCCTTCACAAACACCCTTGTGACCATTAAGGCAAATGTGCACACAGTCTTACACACAAAACTCCACACTCACACCCCACACACATCCTGGCATCACAGTTGGCAGCCGCTCTCTGCTAAGATCTTTATAGAGCCTGGAACGTTCTTTCTATTGGAAGGAATCAAGATCTAGAGGCTGCCTTGGTCAGGACCACCCCTAAAGGGGCGGGTGGGCCAGACCCAGAGTTAATTGACAGATCAGACAGAGAGATACTGCACATTTTGCACTCGGCAGAATAGCCATTATTTGCATATCACTCTCAGACCAAGGGTTGTGATAAAGAAGAATTAAACACTTGTCAAAATGAATTTTAAATGACAGCAATTCAAGACACCAACTTGGCCTCTTCTGAGTCCAGGACAAGCCAAGAAGGGGTTGTTGGGAATTCAAGCCCTGCAGGAGGGAGTTCCAGGATTTTAGGCCCAGGGAGGCCCTTCCCCTCCCTTTCCTATGGCTGGCAGACCACCGCTCCCACTCTTTCTCACAAGGAAATCCAATAGGGCTTTAGCACATTGGGGTCCTCGACCTAGAATTTTTCCATTGCTTCCCGCTGCTCACACGCCTCATGTCCTGCTTCTCAGGCTCATCCATTCCAGTAGCTACCACAGAGTGAACAGTCCTGGGCTATGCCAGCACCGTCATTAGTAAACCTGTCCATCTACAGCTGCTCTGATTGCTGGAGGCCTCTACTTCCTTGCTTATCTACACCAAAGTTAGTTTTGTATATGGTTAACACTCCTGGTCCGAAAGTTCCACAGTTGGTATCAAAAGAGAGACTTAGTTTTTCCTCTGCCATCCCAGTCCAGAGCCAAAGTAGCAAATGGTTGCATTAGGCCACCATTCATTTATTATTTATTATTTATTTATTTACTGAGACAGGGTCTCTGTTGCCCAGGCTGGAGTGCAGTGGGACTACAGGCATGCACCAGCATGTCCGGCTAATGTTTGTATTTTTTGTAGAGACAGGTTTTCACCATGTTGCCCAGGCTGGTCTTGACCTCCTGGGCTCAAGTGATCTGCCCACCTCGGCCTCCCAAAGTGCTGGGATTACACGTGTGAGCCACCAATCCTAGCCTGCCACCTTTAAATCTCTAGCTCCTAGAACTTAGTAGCTGATCATTAATTTTGATGGACTAGTCCATCATGCTGGACTCAACAGAAGACCATTTAATAGCGAGTGGCCAAGATTCAAGACCTCTGAGGGCTAGTATGAGTATGACTCTGCTGAGAGACATGCTTACCTTCTGTAACATTCTCACGTGGGACTTTATATACTCTCTAACGTGAATGATTGAGGGCCTTCTTTGTGGCACAGAAACGTTACTGGGCGTTTTAACTTTCTATGTGCTTTTCCAGTTACCAGGTCATTTGTCAGGACCTCTGCGGTTCAAAGGTCTCTAGGGATGAACAGGAGAGAGAAGATTATCTTCGTGTTTCAGATGAGCTCGGTGAGAGTGACTGGGCGAGGCAGCAGGCAGAACCGAGGTCGGAAGCCAGGCCCCTTTGGAGCTCTCATTGTCCTGCTGGGTCTGTTCTCTCCAGGCAATCCACCCTAGTGGAGAGCCAGAACAGGGCTCCTCGGTCCAGAGAAGCCAATATTGCAGCTACATGATCTTTCCTTTGAATGGAAGGACCAGAAATCCACGTAAAACTCAATCTTTGACAACTTTATGCAGCTTTTTAGAGAATTATCTCTAAAATATGGACTTGGAGGAGGGTGTAGCAGAAAGAGTGGGTCAGAGCGAATCCCGCAGCTGTGAGTGTCTTTCCGCAGCCCGGACACCCTCCCCAGTCCGCTGGGTGTCCGCTTCCCCAGCCCCCCAGGTCCCGGGCTGGTCCGCGGGGAGGGGATACTCGGCCGCAGCCCGGGACGGCGCCGGACGCTCCAGCCACAGTTCAAAGCGCAGGGGGCGCGTCCGCCGCGCAGCCGGGAATGTCCGGCCGCTTAAAGCGCTCGCCGGCTCTTTTGTTCCCCAGACCGGGCCTCCGGGGAGAGGGGCTGGGGGAGGGGACCGGGAGCGGAGAGGAGGGGGGCGGCGGGCTGGGGAGGAGGGCGGGGCGGCCGCGAGCGGTGCGAGTGTGCAGAGCGCACCCCGGGAGAGGCTGACAGATCGCCCGGGCGGGTGCAAGATGGCGCAAGCGGCGCTCCCCCTGCGCCCCCCGCGCTCCTGAGCAGGCATGCGGCCCCAGCCCCCTGCCGCCCGGGCTCGGCCCCGGCCGGAGCCCCAGCCCCGGCCCCGGCGCCCGCCCCGCGGGACGCTGTGAGCCGCGAGAGGCCCGGGAGCCGCGCGTCGCCGAGCCGAGCGGACCGAGAGCCCCATGGCTGTGCCGCGCGCCGCGTCTCCGCGCCGCCCGCCTGCGCTGCGCTGGCCCGGGCTCCTGCTGCCGCGGTCGCCGCTGCTGCCGCTGCTGCTGCTGCTGCTGTTGCCGGCGCCGAGAGAGGGTGAGCGAAGCGCCTCGGACCGGGCGGCTGCGGAGGGAGCCCGGGGAAGTGCGAGCGGAGAGCGAGCGGGCGCGAGGGGCGGACCCGGCGAGAGCTGCGCGGACGTGCGGGCTGACCCCGCGTGGGAGGGAGCCAGCCGGACCCAGCAGAGCAGGACGGGGAGAGGGCACCAAGGCCGGACTGTCGGGGGGTCCTGGGGCGTGCTGAGGACCGAGCCCCCCGGAGGGAGACTGGGTCAGGACCGGGAGCCCAGACTGAGGGGCAAGGAGTGCAGCGAAGCGGGAGCAAGCGGGGCGGGTTGGCGTGGGGACAGAGGGAAACCAGCCCGGAGAGACCGCACGGCCAAGCGCCGACCCCGGCGGACGAGCTGGGGTGCTCGGTGCCTGGCAGTGGACGTAGCCCGAGGCGGCCGAGGCACGGGACAGCAGCCCGGGGAGCGGAGACCGGGATCCTGCCCGCTGCACTGGGCGGAGATGGCAGGTCCTGCATTTGGAGCTGAGATTGGGCCGGGGAGTGCGCGGGAGAGACCGGAGAAGAGGAGGAAGGAGATTCCTGGAGGGCAGCGCGTGGCTAGGGAGCGACCCGGGACACAGCCCCTGAGCCAAGAAGGAGAGAAGCCACCGAGAGCGAGAGCGAGCGAGCCGCGGGGATGCTCACGTGCCCCTGCCCTTCCCAGGAGTGTGCACACGCGGAGACCCTGACCCTGGCTCTTGCAGTCCGCCCGCTCGGCTGCCTGGAGCTCGGTCACCACCACCCTGTTCCTTTTAGTGGCTGCAACGGGCTCACTCCGGGGAGAGGAGTGAAAATCTAGTCCCTTTCCCTCCCACCTCAAGTTCCCCACAGACACTCAGCTGGGCCCTATTCTTTCTCCACTCCACTCCCAAGAAGTAGAAGATCGCGTCCGCGTCAAGGAGAAACTTTATCCCCCGACAGCTATACCGGGCTTGGATTGGGGGCTAAGGCGACTGAAACTCACGACCTGGGGAGGATGCGCTGGGGTTTGAACAAGTGCGATCCTCAGAAGTGTTAAAACATTACATCTCCCTGGGCGGGGGCGGGGGTGCGGGGGAGGGTGCCTGTAACCCCAAAGCCCCTCCTTTCTCCCCACCCACTTGCCCATCTTCCCCAGCCTGGGAGGGCCCAAGTCTGTTGGGGAGGGGCCATGTCCAGGATCGCTAGTTATCTAGAAATGTGAGGAGGGGTCTGTGGCTGCCCTTTCAGACCAGGTGAGTTCGTTCATTCCTTCTTGAGTGGAGTTTTAACTGGTCTGGGAAGTTGCTTGCTGGAGAAGTTGGCGACTTGGCATCATGCTTGGGACTGGAGTGCTTGTCCCTCCAGCCTGGCTTCTGATTCCCTCATCAGCCTTAACCCCCTCTCTTCTTTGGCCTCCTACTTTTCCTGCTCATTTCTCTCCTGCAGGAACAAAGAGGTTGGCTGGAAGTAAAGGTTCTAGGAGCCCCTCTTCCTGGGTTTTGGGAAACCATAGTTGGTGTTTGCTACTCTTCATCTCTCCCCGTGACAAAGGCA